CCCCAAAACCCCAAAACCCCAAAACCCCAAAACCCCACTCTCCTTTACTTAAATTGACTCAAAAAAGTGTCTAAATTACTAAGAAAGTTATTCTATTTCGTCTTTCTCCTCTTCTGGCTTTTGGGGCTTCTCGGTAGTAGCTCTGGCATTCAACTGGTCTCCCTTTGGCACCTGGGAATTGGCTCAGGTTTGCTCCACAGTCTGAGCTTGAGGCAAAGCTTGTGTGCTAGCATGCCCAGGAACTTGGGGAGGATTAGGAACAAGAGGCCTTGTCGGCACATAATAAGGAGGCGCAGCATTTGGAACAGGCTGAGTCTGCATGGTCTGGAGGGGAGGTTGGGGAAATGGAGCAGTATTGTAAGTATTGAATGAAGGAGGACGCTGAAGTGGGGGTTGGTGTGCTGGTTGATGAGCAGCTTGATTAGGCATTGATTGTTGGTGCTGAAGAGGAAGTTGAGAACTTTGGGCTTGAGGAGGGTTAGCAGGTGGCTGGACTTGGGGTTGTGTAGGTGCATGGATAGGCATTTGATTTGGCATTTGGGGTGTACGATAAACCATTCTTTGATAGGCAGGGTGGAAATATCTTTGATAGGAAGGATAGAATTGGGGACGATAGGCTGGATAGAACTGAGGACGATAAGTCGGATGTTGTTGCCAAGTTCCTCTATTTTGAAATGTTGAATTAAAACTAAAGAAATTGCCAATATTGCTAAACATTCTTTTCACTTTTTTTGTCTCCTCATTTTTATTCTGTTTAGCTCCTTTTCGTGCATAAATTTGTATATATTTCTTCATCTCTTTTTTCTTATCAGTTAGGAAAATCTCCCAAGATTCCTGGCTCGACCTGGGATTTTCTCGATCATAATCAGTCATGAACTCGAGTCTGTGTTCTGAATACAATTTTTCTTGCTCCTGCTTTCTTTTTAGATATCATGTCCTTATGATGCTTTGAATTGGGAGGCAAAAGTAAATCAAAGATACAGCAAGAAAGATGTTTAATGTTGGAATTACCTGATCTACAAGCAATCCTCCAAAGAATGAAACCGAAAAACCATAAATAACAGCAATAAGTGGCAATATCTCGATATATACACTTGCCAGCTCTGATCCTAACCTCTCTGGAAGCTTGTGCCTTGTGATTAACAAATATTTCTCTACACTATACTGAAATAAGGTTCCAAATAGAGCAACCACTGGGATAATAGGGAGAACAAATGTGTACATCGCCACCATGCACAACATAAGCATTGCATCTGAGTATCTTTGAGCCATGTCAACTGGAGGTGGCTCAAACAAAGCATTAGCTTCTCTCTGCGTTAGAGTTGAATTTTCTCCTTTCTTTTCTTCAATCCTCATTTTGATGAGATTAGTAATATACCCAACATCAAATAAATAAAGAATAGGGCTGACAAAACTAATAGAAAGCATATTATAGAACACTTCGTTCATCAGTCCATTAGAGTGGAACCAGTTTTTTGTTCCAAAATTCAAAAAGAGCGGAAGAATCCCTGTGTTAATGAAGGTTGCAAAAGTCAATTTCAACGAAACAGACAGGTTTAGCTTTGTATAAGTATCGTGCCTTTCATAAGCAGACAGCTCTCTAATAATCTTCTCAAGAATAATATTGATTACAGAGACAAGGATCGAAGAGAGAATTGATAGGATAACAACAAAGACTTCTGCAGCAGCTGAAGAACTTTCTTCGCCTCTCAGAACATCAATGATTGAATTAATTGCAAGATTCAAGCCAAAAGAGACACCAAGACAGATAAAAGTTCATGTATAAGTGATGATGTTTCTTTTCAACTTCACCTTAAGACTAATGGATAGGTTCTCCCATAAGATATCCTTAGGGTCAGCAGCTCTTTCAACGTGAATTGTGTGGTTATCCCAATATCTGTACTCAATTCCTTTCCTGTCACTTCTTCAAATCTTGAACTTAATGAAATAAAATAGCCTTGTGAAATAGTTAAGGTTGAAATATCCAAGAATATGGTTAGCTTTCTTAGATTTTTCGAAGACGACAAAAGCCTTTTTGCAGAAATCTGCCTCACTGATCTCGTCTTGTAGCATCTTCTTAACTTTATAGATTTCCTCGTTGATTTCCTTAATTTCTTGCTCAATTTCATCTAGAAATCGTAATTATTCAAAGCCGCTGATTAGCTAGCTGACTCTGTCAAGCAGGCCAGTTATCGTAAATAACACTATTATCTCAACAAGGAAAGGTGTACACCAGAGAAATGTCTCTAATAAATCAGAATTGTCATTGAAAACTGGAGTTATTTCCAAAAATTTTAGCTAAAATTTACGCATTCTACAGTTAAGGTAGCATCTTGGTTTTTGTAAATACTTAAAAACAGTAAACAAACATAAATATCCAAAATCTGCTCTGCCTAAAAATACTCTGGAACTACAAAGGATTGTTTGATGCCTACCTGATCGATGGTTCATGTCTGATTCTTCTTCTTTATTTTCTTCCAAATTCTTCTTGCCTTGCAAGAGCATCCTCCTCTTCCTTCTAAGATTCATCAGACCTTTGATCTTCTTGTTTTGATTACTGACATTATAGCACATGTTAACATAAGATATGCTAGGATCGTGCAAGAAGCTAGCCAGCCACTCTCTGATTTCTTCCTCATTTTTCTTCCTTGGAATGTTACTAACCAGGACTGCAAAATTAGATGGTTCAGTGCAGTCCTTCTCAAGATCTCTAATCTTCAAAAATTGATGAAATCTATAGATAACTCCAATAATAACAATTGAAATAAGAGCTCAAAAATGAATCCCCATGATACCATTTATTTCATCTCCCTCTCAGTCATCTCCTCACTTTCCGAAGTTTCCCAAGCTCCAGTCTGAGATGTAGGCTACTTCCTCATCAGGGCTGAACTCTGCTGCTCTATCCTTCGTACTCAATCTAGGAATTGTCAAAACAGAGGCGAAGAAGCACCAGACCAGGAGCACAGCAAGCATGTAGTACTTGATCCTGAAGAAGAGGGCGAATGAAGCGCCAAGTGATGACAAGGCTGTAAAGTTCGCCCAGAACGAGAATTTACTAGCAGAACTATTCAATGGCAAATATCAACACTGGCAGAAGCATCTAGGGTCATCTCTGCTCTTATCATTCTTAATAACTCTTAAGTCTTTCACAGTGCTAGCCTCATAATGTTTCCTACAAAGAGTAAAATCAGGAGGCATTTTGTCCATAGGATCTTCGAAGATCTTCAAGTCTTCATCAGTATCGACCACACTTTCACCAACAGAAGAGGCTTCAGAGGACTCAGAAGACTCGAATTCTTGTTCTTGTGAGCTTTCTTCGCTATTTTTGGGAACTCTCTTCTTGAGAGCTATTTCTTGACCCAAAAATTACTGAAATTGAGCTGGAAGCAATACCTTTTGAATCGGATTCCCTCATTGTGAAATATATTATCTAGTTTCTATTAATATATTCATATCTGGGGTTTTGGGGTTTTGGGGTTTTGGGGTTTTGGGG